CACTCTGGGAAGCCCAGGAGGGTGGATTGCTTGAGCTCAGGAGTTTGAGACCAGTCTGAGCAAGAGCAACACCCCATCTCTACTAAAAACAGAAAAACTGCTGAGCATGGTGGCAGGTGCCTGTAGTCCCAGTTACTCAGAAGGCCGAGGGAAGAGGATCGCTTGAGCCCAAGAGTTTCAGGTTGCTGTGACCTACAACACCACCAACGTGCTCTACCCACAGCGAATACTGAGAGTCTGTCTCTAAGTAAATAAATACATCAATAAATTAATTAAAAATAAATAAATAAAAAGGTGGTATCTAATTTCTGTATTATTAGTTTCAAGGCAGCTCAGAATTAAGGCATTCATTTCTTTTTTTTATTAAATCATAGCTGTGTACATAAGGCATTTATTTCTATATATCATTTTAGGCCTTATAGATACAAAAGGCTCCTACAAAAGGAGTTTACTTTTATCTATTTGGGGGATATTAGTATGATAGTTACGATAATTTGGCAGCACCGGCAATGGGAACTCAATCAAGTGGTGGCCAGGCGTTCTCAGTGTGCGAGAGCATCATGACATCAAGTATCTGACTCCTTCATTTACTATCAGCAGCTATTGGCTCAGTATCAGCTTTGTTTGGGCACAAGGACAGACACCAAGATAAAGGTATACACAAAATATTTAAAATGTAGTGACAACAATTCCTTCTTTTGAAATAGCAGCAAAACTAATACATGATTTAAATGTTCAGCAGATCAGAGCAAACTAGCATTAAGAAAAAACATCACCCGATACAGAATAACAATCCTCAAGTAACTCAAATGATTTTGAGGCCACCGGATGGAACGGGGGAACCAGGACTGTGCTGTGTGGGTTTTGAGGAGCAGGTGGGGCTGCAGCCCTAAGCTCCAAGCAACAAATGGTTGAAGGGACAACAAAAAACCTGCCCTCCTAGACTGTTCACAAGGCACCCTCATTTTTAGTCCTTTAAAAATCTAATTAATTAGACCCCCTATTTTCAGCCAGCTTTTTCCACCTTCCTTTCTCAAAGATACTTTATCAGAGCAGAAAAGCAATAAAACGGAGCGCAGTTTCTCAATGCCTCTTACCAGTGGTGTTACTCCTAAGGAAAATAAAAGAATAAATTAGGCAGAACCTTCTGTGGCTTGACCAGTTTAACTGTAGTCCAATCTAGATGTAAATGAAAAATGAATCAGGTTTCTTCTGGGAGGATCTCCTTGGAATCTTGCTGCTATTTTGTGCAGGGTTATCCCCTAAGCCTGGTCAGGTGACATGTGCCTATAGACCCAACTCCTTGGGAGTCTGAGGCAGGAGGACCACCGTAGGCCAGGAGTGAGGCTACAGTACAATATGACCATGTCTCTGAAAAGTCACTGTACTCCAGCCTGGGCAACATCGTAAGACCAACCGCCAAAAAAAAAGTCATACTCTACACTTAGAGTAATTCATTCATTCATGGTATATGGAAATATTGCACAATACTGAAACTGTGGCCACCTCTCAGCTTCAAGCTACCTGGCTGCATGGCCACAGGAGAGTGGTAACAACTCTGTTATTCACATCTGTGAAAGCATGAAACTTAGACCACCTACCTAAGGTTACTTTCAGGAATGAGAGTCTGTGGAAAACTACTAAGTTTGTTATTATTTTTGTCCAAAGCAACTTTTCATTTACAGCTATACTGCACCAATATTGTGAGTCACAAAGATTATTTGGTTCCCCATTGCACACATCCTGACACTCACAAGCCCTGGACACTCTGTGCCAAATGACCCAAGTTCAGACATGCAGAGGGATTCGATGACTCCACATCAAACATCCACCTCCACTTCCACTGTCCAAAGGGAAAGATTTCCATCAAATGGACTTAATCTGCATTTACCTCCTGGCCAAAGAATATTTAGGAAACATGGAAATATTTATAAGGCTATAAAGATAACAGTTCACTTTTGAACCCAGAAATCAGTTTGTACCACAGAAGTTCACTTTTGCAAGACTTAGGTAAATTGGACATAATGTTATCGGTTGCATTATTTGGAGCTTTATTCAAAATGCTTTTACGCACTTATGCCTCACAGCAACACCCTGACAGAATCAGAATCCATAATTTTCACTTAATTGATAGAATAATGGGTGTTGACCAACTGCAAAGGTGAATTCTTTACATCCTTCCTATGTGTGGTCCTCCCTTAAAGCCCAATTGAAGTCTTACTATGAAATCACATTGTTTTCTTGATTTTTCTCACTCTTCCTACACGGTATCATGGGTTTTTTGTAAGAAAATATAACACAGTTTGTACGTTGATACTCAGCCACTTTTCTTTAGGTGTTTGATCTCAGAACAATGTAACCATCTGATGCAGTTTTAGCCAACCACACAAAATTTACTGGAAATAAGGAAAACCATAAAGTTGGTGGTCTGCAAACTCAAGGGACTGTCTTTCTGGCTACGCTTTGCCTTAATAATATTTATTGTCGTGAGCTTCCTTCCTTAGAAAATCTGTTCATGAAATGTCATTCTCTTCACCTGCTGGTCCTTCACAGACACACAAGCCCTGTGGGGTGTGACGTCCCTGCCTACCGTCCTCTTTGAAAGGAGCTCTTCCCACTTGCATAACCATGGCTGATCAACCATGAAGACTTTTTTTTTGACAGACAGTTACTGGAGCTTGAAATAAGAGAAAAACATTTGAAAGAAATGTTTTCAGAAATGGATACAAAGAGCCTTTTCCTTTCCTTACCCTCGCTCTCCTATACGTACGTTTCTCTCCAGCATGAACTATTACAGACTAAAATATTAAACATTTGGTGTGCAGGGTTGATATTCTCCCTTCGTAAAAACGAACCCCAAATCCCAGAGCATGTGCTTAGTCAGCAATAACCTTCTTCTGAAGCTAGGACTATAAATAAATAGGATTCAGACGCATAGGGAGAGCTAGACAATCCTTCATGTGTGGACTATAATTAGTATTCTCATTTTAAACCAGTTTTTAGTCCTAAGGGGGCACAGGCTGAGTGAATAATTAAGGCCTCTTATTGCATTACTTGCAGTAATTACCTTCACGAGGATTTTGCCTTTCAAACTTTGAGGGCTTGGAAGCTGCTTGTAGTCCCCGGTGTCTACAGAGGAGAGGTCCAGTTTGTCTTGGAATATTCCTTTCAGGTACTGAGCAATCTTCCTTTGCTGCTGGACACTACAGTGATTCTCGATAGACAAAATAACCGGAAACCTGAGAAAATAGCAACATGTTCCAGAGGCATCAGGTATAGGCAGCTCACGGGGATTTAAAACAAAAAAATTCGGCATTCATTGTGTTTTTACAATCCTCATGGCAGCATTTGCAGGAGTGGTGATGATTAATATGCTTCTAATTGGGCAAGATTAGAGATGCATTATCAAATTCCTTTCAGCAAATAGATTTTGCTAGGCAGAAGGGCTGAACAAAATACCAATTGATGTGGGATGGCTTAGTCTAATGTTTTTGTGTCAGGGAAAAAAATGGTAGGTACATTACATATCTTTTAAAATAAAACAAAAAGAAAATTGTAAAAGAGAAAGCAAACTCACATAACGTAATTTTGTGTTATTTATTGATAAGTCTGGAAACATTTAAGAGATCACTGAATATTAAATGCAGTTTTATAGTCTAAAAAGAAAAATATAACCAGCTCCCAGCTTGAAAATTATTACTGAAGATAAGAAAATAAAATACCAGCTTGGCACCTGTGGCTAAAGTGGCTACATACACCTAAGGTGGCAGGTTTGAATCCAGCCCGGGCCCGCCAAACAACAATGACGGCTGCAACCAAAAAATAGCCGGGCGTTATGGCGAGCGCCTGTGGTCCCAGCTACTTGGGAGGCTGAGGCAGGAGACTCGCTTGAGCCAGAAGTTGGAGGTTGCTGTGAGCTGTGATACCATGGCACTCTACCCAGGGGGACAGCCTGAAGCTCTGTTTCACAAAAAAAAAAAAAGAAAGAAAGAAAAGAAAAGAAAAGAAAATACCACAATGGAATTCAGTGTTTTTTAGCATCCTATGTCAGGCATTTGAAAATAGTTTTTACAGAATTACTTTCTAGTATTTGTCCCCAAAAAACCCTCCAGCATTCATTCACTCTATAGCACACTCACAGTTTCTGCACAGAGTGTGTGGGACCCATGTAAAGGAATTACCCAAAGACAGTCTGAGGAGCTGGTGGCCAAAGCAGAAAGGGGACAGGGCTGATTACATGATTTTCCTACTCTTTAGACTTTGTTTTTTCCTCAGAGCAAATCTGGGTGTATTGATTTTTTTCCCTAGTTTTCCATCACCTACCTCCAGCAATAACAAGCAGTGTATATTTTCCAAAGTATACAAACCAATATTTAAATCACCTAATATATCTACATGGAGAAAAAGTTCTCTTTCCAAGATGATCCCACCAGTTGCCTAGGACCTCCTGAAATTACATGCTCCACTCATTAGTAAATCCTGAGGTGGGCAGTCACGTAGATGAGCCCTTGTGACTGAAGTTGGCTTGGTTACCTGACTACAATCTGTTAGCTATTGACTTCCTCACACAGGTTTTACCCTGGCGTGTTAGGAGAGAGAAAAACAGCAGCAACACCACACTAGCAGTGTTGGCTTGTCTTGCAAATCACATCAGGGAGTTTGAACAATGAATTTCCAAATTACCAGTTCATTTATAAAAAGCCTGTCAGGTGTCTAACGATGCTTAGCGGAAAGCTGTGTTTCTCAACAGGGGAGAAGGTAATTTCTCCCGCCACCAACAAGAGACATTTGTCAATGTCCAGAGACATTTTTTGTGATTACGACTCAGGGAGACGGCTGCCACTCAGTGAGCAGAAGCTGGGGAAGGGCAGAATCCTCCAAAACACAAAATGACCTGGCCCAAAATATCGAGAGTGTCAAGGTTGAGAAACCATGATGTAAAGATGCAACTAAAACACAAGAAAGAAAAAACAAAGTCAAACCTTTACAATGCACTAAGTTAACTAACTGTTCTAATTTGAAGTGTTTCTTCTAAGTGTTCCCAAACCTGAAGCAAACTGTCAAGTCACTGGAGGAGCCTCCAAGGTAAAAGGTAGCAGGCCTTCTCAACACCCCACTTCACAGGCTGGGAAACAGAGGCAAACTTACTTCACCAGTTGACAAAGACTGGTGGAAATCAGTTGTGAAAACCCATCAGAATTCAGGACTCAAGATTCTTCACAGAGAAGACACTACAAACCAAACCTGCTTTGCAGCCAGTGTGTTTCACTAGAAAAGCATTTTAATCTCATGGTTAATAGGACCAACTATTAACAATTTTAAAGGCTACTAATAACTTCTAAAAATTAATTTTACATAACTGGAATTTGAATTTGTTTCTTTTAACTCAAAAATCCTTTCTAGAGGGCTGTGGCCTCAGCTGAGCTCACAGCAACCTCAAACTCCTGGGCTCAACCAATCCTCCTGCCTCAGCTTCCCGAGAGCCAGGACTACAGGCATGTGCCACAACACCTGGCTAATTTTTCTATTTTTAGTAGAGATGAGGTATCACTTTGCCCAGGCTGGTCTCCAACTCCTGAGTTCAAGCAATCCTCTTGTCTTGGCCTCCCAGAATGGTAAGTATGAGCCACAGTGTGTGGCCCTAACTCCACATTTTCAATGAGTCCACAATCTTACAGATTTAAAAGAAGGAAAGTTGGTGGTGCCCGTAGCTTAAGCAGTTAAGGCGTGGGTTCAAATCCAGCCTGGGCCTGCCAAACAACGACAACTACAACCAAAAAATAGCCAGGCGTTATGGTGGGCGCCTGTAGTCCCAGCTACATGGGAGACTGAGGCAAGAGAATAGCTTAAGCCCAAGAGTTTGAGGTTGCTGTGAGCTGTGACACCACAGCACTCTACCCGGGGAGATAGCTTGAGACTCTGTCTCAAAAATAAATAAATAAATAAAGGCAAGTAATCAATAATTACGAGAGGATGCTATATGATATGACAGAAATATGTTCAGGATGCTAAATACAGAGAAAAAGAAGATTTCAATCAGCTAATGGTACCAGTAAGTTCCCTGAAGGACGATAGGATAAGTGAGAATTAGGCCAGTGGAAGAATGGGGAAGGGTGTGGCAGGCAGAGGGAACAGCATACAAGAGTACGGAGTGTTGACAAAGAGCTGAGGTCAATGAGGAAATGGAGAGACGGTCATTAAGAGCAGGGTCCTGAGTCTCTGTGGAGCAGTGGTGGGAGAAGACACCAGAGGAGAAGGGACAGGTCAGACCTTGAAGGGTGTGACATACATGTGTGCTACAGGGAACTCTGATGGACTTTGAGAATTATGACATTATGCTGATAGTTCAGAAAGGAAACCATAGCACTGGTGCCAAGGATGAACCACAGGAGGAATAAAAACACAGAAGGCAATAGAGTCAAAAGATAACTGGGAAGTAGAATTCACAACAATTGCCTCAATCTAGAATGACGCCCAGTGCCTGGTGGAAGCCACTGGTAGACAGGGCTGCTGCTAAGTAAAAGGAAATAGAGCAAGAGGCCAAAGGACATCTGCCAGAAGGGGGCGCTGCGTGGGGCGCGTGAGCTCCACAGTGGCAGGAATCTCACGTTCGGTGTGTGGCCCCCTCCACTTGTGGGG